GTGTGGCTGACTCTTAACTTTTATAAAGAATATCTCTTTGGATTTGAGACTTTAGTCTTTGCAAATTTACAGATCTTCTTTATGCACCAAGAGCTTGTAACACTCCAAAGAGAAAGGAAAAAATGAAATCGCATCATATGACCCCTTTAAGGGATTTGCCACTGATGATTAAAACGGGAGTTTTGAGCAGTGTAGTAGCGCTTGTTGTTTGTAATTTCTCCAATCACAAATGCAGACATGGTTTTAGGTTTATGGCTCTGGACCCGACCAAGTCCATGGTTGACACCCTCTCATTAGCATGTTGTGCAGAGGAAAAATAAATGCGGGACTACATTCAGAAATAAATGAGTGATTAAAAGAAAGCAGTTAGGATGAGTTTAGCATTTCCTTAAACATTTTCCATTTGGCCACCAATTTATTTTATTTATTTGACTACTTTCATCACACATTTAATTATTTATATATCTATTTACACACATTTATTTATTTATCTGCTTATTTATTTATTTTTAATTTCTGCAGGTTTGGTCCTCCATATTTTTCTACCCCTGAACGAAAAACGAAAAATTAAGCTGAATTCTTGTTTTTCGTTTCTTGGAGAAAAAGAAATGGGAAAAAAACGAAAAAGAAGCTGTTTTCTAATTTTTCTACTATCAATATTAAATCAAAAAACGAGTGAACGCTCGATTCCTGATTTTGGTTTTCTAATTTCAAAAGGAAAATCCGTTGGCCGCCAAGTACACGGACCTTCTTTATACAAGAAAGCACTGTCCTCTCATTACAGAAGATGGAGATTAATTGTTATTATAATGTACGGCAGTGTGCTTTTAATCATAAGAGAAAACATTTATGGAAGTGTGATAGAAATTTGCAAAACAGAACCTATGGAAGATTTAGAGTAACATTAAACCTCTAAAAAAAAATCAAGGATAGAATCCCAATCCCTCCCCAAACTAACAGCTGTGATGTCACGCTTGGCATGGTTTTGGCCATTGGCTGTGCCTCACTCCAGCTCCTCCAGAGGATCCGTAAGAAACGAGCCTGGATCCTGCTCCTGTAAGTTGATGGCAACGTTTAAATGCCCCAAATACTCGGAGGCGAAGCAGAATGCTGAGGAGAGACGCATCTCGATCTTATCAGGAGGTAATGAAAGTCGTGTGTGAAATGCGGTTAGATCCTGCAGGACTCCTTCATCTGCTTGAGCTCGCGATCATAGTAACGCAGGAAGTGTAGTCATGTGATAACAGCTGACCGCTGCTCTTTATTGCAGCTGGGCGTATAGACAGATATGAGGCACGAAATACTGTCATATATACATTAACTCTGTGCATCCGTATAAGTGTTTTATTAAAATGACACTTGTTGCATTGTAGTTCAATGGTGAGGACTGTGCTGGGCCACTTGGGTCTGATCAGAATAATGATGTTTCTGAAGTGGAGCAAGATCAAGCCAGCTGTGACCCTTCACCAGGTCTGAACTTATTTCCTACAAATATGACAGTAATAAATAATTGTTTTCTGTGTATATCGATCTAGCTTTATATGTAGATTTATGTATGTAGACACCAGACAGAAATCCTATGGTTATATTCTGAGATTTTGGTGATTATTTATTGATTTTTATAATGCATGTATTTATATATATATATATATATATATAT